GCCCGCCGCGCCCCGCCCCAGGGGTCGGCCAGCCCCGCCCCGCGCGCTGACGTCACGCCGCCGTCCAAGGTGCGCTGGGAAATGTAGTCCGCCGCCCGGGGAACGGACTAGAAATGGCCCAGTGGGGTGGCGGCGGGGTCGACGGAAGACGCGGGGACCGCTGGGAAATGAAGTCCGTACGCAGGAGTTGCTGCCGGCAGCTCTCCAGGCTCGCTCTGCCCGTGGGCACTCTGGGAAGTCCGCGGGTCCAAGGGGACAAATGGAAACGGCCTGGGCGAGAGCGGCATGCTCGGGGAACGCTGGGAAATGGAGTGTAAAGCCTAGAAAGGAGTCCTCGGGCAGGCCGGGAGATGTAGTTCACTATCTAGCGGTAACCCCACACCCCACCCCGTCCTCCCCGCCACACACTCAGGCACACGCAGACACACACACTCCGGGGGCTGGTGGGCAACCGACTACCTGCCCATGAGGTGAGAGTGCAAGTGGGACAGACCTTAAAATATACAGAACTTGGGACCAGCAGCTGGTGTAATGGCTATGCCGCTGGACTCCCATGTAGTCGACTGGGGTTCAAGTCCCGGACCCGACGGTGTAATCACGCAGGATGCGTGTGCTTACGTGCCCAAGATCCCAAGTGGAGAATGGAGGAGAAGGGATTGCGCCGTGGCCATCCCCCCTGGGGGTGATTTCTCGCTTTCTGTCTCATTTTGACAAGTATTTGCTATAGGGCACATGCGCTTGCCCGAGAAACACAAACAGAAAGCAAGAAATCACCCCCAGGGAGGACGGCCACGCTGCAATCCCTTCATCTCCGAATCTTGGACACCCATGCACACAGCCAGCGTGAGTTGGTTTTTTTTATTTTCTTTTTGAAAGGTTTTTTTGCTATAGGGCGCATGCACTTGCCAGAAAGACAGAGAGAGACAGAGAGACAGAAAGTGAGAAATCACCCCCCAGGGGGGATGGTCACGCTGCAATCCCTTCTCCGTTCTCCTCTCAGGATCTTGGACACACACGCCCATGCGTCCGGCATGAGTTTAAGCCACCAGGTCTGGGACTCGAACTGTGGTCGACTACATGGGAGTCCAGAGACATAGCCATTATGCTAACTGCTGGTCCCCGATTATTCTTTTTTATTAGAGAAGCTTTTGCTGTAGGACACATTTGCTCACCAGAAATAGAAAGCGAGAAATTACTCCTGCCCCAGGATGGGGGAGGGTGGCGGCCATGCCACAGTCCCTTATCCAGCCTCCAGGTAAGATTTTGGGCACACATGTGCATGTGCCCAGTGTGAGTTTTAAGCTACTAGATCCGGGACTCGAACCACGTCAACTACACGGGAATCAGAAACGTTACCATTATCCCTTCTGCTGGTCCGATATAAATAATTCTTAGCAAAAATGTTTGAAGGAAAACAGCAGTTAGCATAATGGCTATGTCGCTGGCCTCCCACGTAGTCGACGGCGGTTCGTGTCCTGGACCCGGTGGCTTAAAACTCACGCCGGGCGCGTGTGCATGCGTGCCCAAGAACCCGAGAGGAGAATGGAGGAGAAGGGATTGCAGCGTGACCATCCTCCCTGGGGGGTGATTTCTCACTTTCTGTCTCTATGTCTCTGTCTGTCTGGCGAGCGCACGCGCCCTATAGCAAAAAAAAAAAAAAAAAACTCTCAAAAAAATGTTTTAAAAAGGGGGGGCAACAGGTGGCATAGTGCTTAAGGCGCTGGACAGCTACATGGTCGACCCCGGTTTGAGTCCCAAGCCTGGCTACTTGCTCTCTCATTTTTCCTCTCTCTCTCTCTCTCTGTTTC